ACAGTTAGTCTTGGAAACCCACAGGGGGTCACGATGAGTCAGCATTGACTTGAAGGCAGTGAGGGTTTGAGTGAGCCGTGATCTTTAAACTTGCATCCCATCTGAGCATCCCCTTTTCCCTGCTTGCCCAAGCACATCTTGAGAGCACTCACCTATGTGTTCCTTTGCAGACTTTGGCCTGAAGTTGTTGTTAGGTGCTGTTCAGTGGGTTTTGACGCATAGTGACGGTATATGTACACATCCTAAAATACAGGTACAAAGACCTTGACCCTTGTTGTTTTCCTCTTGGGGGACAAGACTGCATCTACATCAGTCAGGTTAATTTTGACTCATAAAGACTCTCTATTTCACTGAACTCACTGCCATTGAGTCAATATATATATAAATATATAACATATAATATACATTTTTGTATATGTATGTATGTATATATATATATATATACAAAATATAAATATGTATATATGTTCCTTTTTCTTCTTACAGACCTAATAGATGTTGTTATATTACTTTCTGTTGTCTGTGATTTGTTGGGAATTCTGTGGTCTTCCAAATTGTGGTTGCCCTGTACGCAACGTGTCATTTTCCTTTGGGCATTTTCAAGATTTTCCTATTCCTCTTTGGTGTTCTGTACCTTGTTCCTGATGTGGCTTTCTCCATATTTATCATTCTGAACTCACTGATCATGTTAATTGAAGGAAGAACCTCAATGAGACGGGTGGAGATGGAAGCTGCCACAATGAACTCAAACATCACAACTGGGGGGATGGTGCAGAAATGGGCAGAGGGTCCCTTGGTTGTACATAGGGTCATTATGGGTTGGAGTGGACTCAAAGGCACCCCCAATTCAAATACAGTCATTAAATCTCAGACAAGACAAACTGCTGATAAGAGAGCTCACCAGCATGGGGTCATCATGGTATCCAAGGACTCACAGCTACATGGCTACTTCATTAGAACGTGGGTACAAAGGAAGCAGTTTGAAAGGCCACGACTGGTGGCAGACCAATTATCACAGGTGCAGGTGGGACTACAGAATCAGGACAGGATGCATGCACTATGCAGATCAGAAAAGCTGTCAAAATGGGTTCAGGGCTCTCAGACTACCTTTGTCAGGTATGCCTTATGGTCATGTGGCCCAACTCAGGACACAAACTCACTGCTATCAAGTCAATTCTACTCAGAGTGCCCCTGGTGGTGGAGTGGGTTGGTTACAAGTTGGGCTGCTTTTCATAAGGTCAGTAGTTTGAAACCACCAGCTACTCCTTGGAAGAAAGACAAGGCTTTTACTCCCATAAAGAGTTACAGCCTCAGTAAGCCACAGGGAGTTCTACCCTGTTCTATAGCAGTGGTTCTCAACCTTTGGGTCACGACCCCTTTGGGGGTTGAACAATCCTTTCACAGGGGTCGCCCGATTCATAACAATAGCAAAATTACAGTTATGAAGTAGCAACAAAAAAAATTTTATGGTTAGGGGGGGGGGTTCACCATAACATGAGGAACTGTATTGAAGAGTCGAGGCATTAGAAAGGTTGAGAACCACTGTCTTATAGGGTCACTATGAGATGTAGCCCAAGTACCCCAATTTCCATCAAGGACATACCCAGCCAGAGTTCTGAGGGTGAGTTTGCCCCTCTCTGGGCTGGTCAGGAGATTCCTGGCAAATTCAGTCAGAGGGAAAAGTTTTGATTTTTTTTACATTGCTAGTCATTTGTCAGAAATAACTCAAAGAAGCTTGAATCTATATGGAGACTCAAAATGGATTTAAGGCTCTTGTTGTAAACTATAAACTGTAGTCTTCCTCAAACCTAGTGCTCAGAACCTAAGCTCTAATACAGTTGTCAGTTCATAAGATAAGGACAGAATTGACATTTAGAAACTTGTAAGCAATGTTTATAGTCATTTAAATGTTAACTATAATAAAAAAGTGTTCTTGTATTTTGAACGCCTTTATTTTTCTAGCAATTACCTATTTAAAATTAGTGACATATTGGAAATTAAAAAACAAACAAACAAGGCACTGTTCCTTTCCAGATATCCTTCAAGAATCACTGGCCTAGGTTACAAATAAGACTCACTTCTGAGAAAATTCTAATTTAACTAATAGTAGAAATAATCCTAGATTATAGCCATAGTTCACGAATGACCTATGATTGGCAGAAATATTCTGAATCTGAGGCGCAAAAAGTCCCAATCAAGGTGATTTCTCTTGGATGCATGCACAGCAGCTTCCGAGTGAGGATAGGAATTCAGCACTGGTTTCACTGTCATCTGAGAATCGAGTTTCCTTTGCTTTTTTTTTGTGACTCATTTAAGTTAGGATTTAAGTTAGGATTGAACAGTAAGTTCAGTACAAAAACAAGAACAGTAGCAATAGACCCTGCTATGCTACGAGAGCCTGCTCAAATTCTATGTGGAGACAATTCAGAATGGAGGTATTTTTATTCCCATTTTAGTTTAAATGGAGATTCGAAGAAGCAGCTTAAACAACATCATAGAGCAAGTGATAGGACCAGGATTTCAATGCAGATTTGCCAGGTTCCAAAGTGTCTACACTTAACTATGTTGCTTATTCATCACTAGATAGAACCATACATTACAGCCACCAGTATCAAGCAGGTAATTCCATGGGCTCTCTTAACACAGCCTCCTGGGTTGGGATTTACTCTGGCAAGAGATAGAGAAGAACTGGGGGGAGAAAGACTATAATTTTCCCTTTTAAGAGTTCATAAAACTTCACCTTACTTGGAAGTCATAAGTCTGAAGTATCAGGTGACAGCAGTGAGTCAGCATTTCCAAAAGCAGGTAATGATATTTTGCAATAGCAAATTCTTTTATGAATCATCGGTGATGGTTACGCTTGCTCAAAAGTGTTTCTGGCTGCCTATTTTATTTGCCTTCCAGAGGAGTACAGCTAAAGATCTCTCTCTCTCTTTAAAAATCACAACTATAAGAATGAGTGGTTGCAATCTGTTCCTGTGAAGATGGAGAGTGGAGCAGAAATTCTACTTGTTAAGAAGTCCTCTAGTTTATGCTGAGCACAGCTAGACTCGGTTGTTCTACAAAGTTAATATTTCACTGGCCTTCTACTTTTTCTTTAAAAACAATCAGTTAAACAGTGTTATTTAAGTGCAGTTAAACTAGTGTGTTAATCCTCTATCTCTTAGCAGGGAACTATTTTGTTGCAGATACATTCTCTTTTGAAACAGAAATAACCTCTGCATCATTGTGCCGGAGATGACTGGGATTCAGGCGGTGTCAGAAAAATTCCTTCACGGTGTCCCTTTCCAGCCTTCCTGTGTCCTTTGTAAAATAAAATGACCAGCAGAAGCATTTCCGTTCGACCCACTTCCTGCTGCCTTATCACACAGTTCTATCCTTCCACCCTCCCTTCCGGCTCTGCTTGGGAATTTGAGAGGGCAGGGCAAGATGTCTACAACTTTGCTTTTGATTCGACACCACTGAATCCATGCTTCTGATTCTTTTTGCTTATTTATCAGTCCCCTCCCCACTTCCTTTTCTGCGTTACTTTATATGGGCAATGGGTTAATGCCAAAGTGCTTGTCTTTTACAGCACTATTAGAACACACAGGTCTGTTCGAGACAAGTCACCGTAGAGCTTACAGTGGGAGCTTCTCTTCTGGCGCTTGCCTCCCACGATGCACGGAGATGGGGGTGAGGGTAGTGAGGGGCCATGGAGTAGAAATGGAAACATAAGTATTGCGTTTTCTTGTGGCCTACTTTCCCCATTACCCTTCTCCTACCAACCACTTAATTCTCTGCCACCCTTCCTGTAAGGACAACCGGAGAAACACTGCCCCGGTCCTGTGTCACCCTCACAGCTGCTGATCTGTGTGAGCCTATGATAACGGCCACTGCGTCGATCCACCTGTTGAGAGTATTCCTCCTCTTCCTCCTAAGGTAGCTGATGTTCAGCGCTCTGGGTCATGCGGTTCTGTATCAGATGCAGAATTGGAACCTAAAATCTCCGCAGTACCCTTCACAGAATCCCTCATCAACCCACAGCCATTTTCCAACCCCTGTTCAATCCGAAGAACAGAAGCCCGGGTGGTGTAGCAGTTACGCGCTGGGCTGCTAATCCCAAGGTCGACCGTTCGAAACCCCAAACCAGCAGCCGCTCCATGGGAGAAAGACAAGACTTTGGACTCCCGTAAAGCGTTACAGTCTTGGAAACCCACAGGGGCAGCTCTACCCTTTTCTTCCCCAGGGTCTCCAGGAGTCTGAATCCACTCGACGGCAGGGGGTGTGTATCTGATGGACCTGTGGCCCTCTCATCTCCCAGACCATCCGGGTGGCCTCCTTTTCTCTTTGCCAGCCTCCCCGCGGCCCCTCATCCGGTGATCTGTCTCATATTTCCCTCATCTCCGTTCCACTGAATGTTCTGGACCTTCGCCACATTCCTGCTGCAGCCCGATTCACGTCTCTGAGACCCTCTCGCCTATTTCCAGGATTTCTCCCCCTGGCACGGGGGGCGCTCGGGCCTCCCGCTGCCCCG